TTTAACATCAGACTAATGCTCCAACTTGTCCTTGAACAGGTGTAACATCAAAAAAATTTTTGACATCTGTATATTTTTGAGATAAAATTTATTTATTTATTTTTTTTGTTCGTTTAATTTTCTGTTTTCAATTCTATTTGATGGACTCTTTCCATTAAGTAGAAACTGTTCAGTCTGTGATCGGATCACCTTCAGAATTGATTGGTATAAATGCTTTCTTCAAACAGTCTAAAATATGTTAAGCTTTTACTACACAAGTTTTTATCTAAGTACTGTCAAGTCTACTTAATTAAGACTGATATGCGATTTTTTTTATTAACTTTTTAATTGACCTTCCGCAAGGAATAGTAAGTTAGGTGATGTGATGTCATCGTGTGTAGAAATTTCTTGTTTTGTTTGGTTTGGTACAAAATAGACCTAAACAGACTTATATTTCAAGATTATACTTATTCCAAAGTTAAAAAATTTATAATACATATTCTAAATTATCTGTATATCATAATTATTTTAATAATAAATGCGATTTGATTTTCTACAAATATTTTCTATAATTTCTTTACTGACTTACATCATATTTTTAATTATTTTGTTAGTAATATTTAACATTGTTAGATAGTATTATTTATTTTAATGTTTTTAATATTCTGTTTTTATTTATTATTTTACAACTAAACGATTTTAAATTAAAAACACTATATTATACTATATATTATGTTATGTACTATATACTAAATAGAATACTATATACTAAAATATATGTTGTTATAGTTGCCACTTATATGACACTTTTTTCATCTAATTTTTTAAAATGGGTTTTTAATCATTTTTAATGTTCCTTTTCGTGCAATACATTTTTTACCCTTTTATTGTATGTTCTTTTTTCATATATTCAAATTCCTTTTCTATATCTATGACTGTGCCAACTATAGACACTGTAAGCACTTCCCTTATTCTGTTTTTAATGTAACCACTAGATCCGCTATACTTATTACATCTATTTTAGCAGCGCAAAAATATATAATTTGTGACCACAATATACCCCTGATCTGCTTCGAACTCAGCATCTACATATCAAGTTGTTCCAAGTCTTAGAAGAAAACCGCCCAAACAGTTTAGGAACTAAACAGATGTCTGCACAACTTTTGCAACATTCCACTATACAATCATGTATTAGAAATCCATTCTGCAATGTATATTCTGCGAGATTTCCATCCCTTTTTTTCGATTTATATTAAACCGTCAAATTATGTGCGGTAACAAACTAATTCCGATCTTTTTGATCCTGTTATGTACTGATTTACTGATTTTGTTTATATAAACGATAACGCTGACCTATGGTTGGAATATGGTTCCAACTATAGGTCCTTTCGCATTGATGGAAAATCTGCTAAAACATTATTTTTAAGACATTGTTTTAATGGATTCTCGCAGTCACACACTGAGACTTTGAAGCTTTCTACCTATTCGAAAAAAACTGTTTTCTATGTATTTATTTCTTTTCTGTCTTTCTATCGCTTCTACATATTTTATTTCAAAACCACTACTCACAATTTCTGTGTTCTTTCTTTTTCTATCCTTATTGCCTTATCCTTTCTAATTTTTTTTTTTTTTTTTGATTTCTTAGTTTGTCTTTTTTTTTGTTTTTTGTATGTCTTTTAATCAATTTTTTGTTAATAGTAATTTATATATTTTCTCTTTCTTTTTAATCATCTGACTTACTTATATTCTATCTTAATAATTCTTCGTATTCTATTTTAATATTAATGATATAGCATTTGCTTATCTGTGTTCTGTTTAAGTGAAGAATTTTTTTATTTATTCAATTTTGCACTAAAAGAGAGAGTGAGAGAGGAGATATCTTTACCATATATATCACAAAGAAAAATCCCAATTTTTTTCAAATTTCCTTAATGCATATTGTTTGCTTACTCGTTTTATTTTAATGCATAATTAGCAATTTGAACGTCCTCCTAAGTAAAAAAAAAGAGCAAAGTTTAAGGAAAAATCACACGATGTTTAACAAAAACTCCGAAAAATCCCCTCTGAAAAAAGCTATTAAAATTATTTGCAAAAAAGTTTCATATACAGCACAGATATTTAAATTTACGGCGCTATAACTCAAAACTGATTTGTTACAAATGACTTTACATAAACATAATAAAGCAATTTCTTTAATGCAACAAAAAAATTTTGCGGTTATTACTAAAAACAACTATAAGGCTTCTTTCATGAACAAAACGTGTTAATAGATTTTCCGGGGGAATTCCCAAAACTTTTTTCGAATTAAACGAAAATTACTCGTACGTCCTCTACCATAAGCAACGGCAATATAATTAAAAAATTACTTCCAAATTAAATTGTAATATATACTTTGGAATAATAAGTCGTATCACCCGGTTTAATGGGCAATAATCAAGTAATCAACCTAGATAATATGATTAACACAATTTTTTTTTGTTTTTTGAAATTTTAAATATTTAGAGTAAAATCAGCAATCAAACTGTTAAGATAAAAACCAAAACAATGACCACTGAAAGTAAATAAACAACAACAAAATTTACGGAAAAAAAGTACAAAAATGAACATTTTTTGTAGAAACAAACAGAATATCTGGAGCACCGCAGTGACCAATGCCAATGTCGAGCAGAATATAAAAATTGGAAATTCATGTTGAGCATTTAATCCGTTGCATTTCACCTGCACAGAACAACGCACGCTTAGCTAAAAATTAAAATCGAACATGACCAGCAGCGATACACAAAGTGACTATTTACAGGGGATTCCCATGATACGGAAACTGACAACAAACGAACTATTAACAGATAAAACAGCTACAACAGCTAGAACAGCTAGAACAGCGCCAAATGCAATTTTATCTCAGTTGCTGATATCATTGAGCGTTCTGCTTTTAGCATATGGCAGCATCACAACAAGTGAGTTATCAATATCTATAATTACTAAAGTGCGGGTAACTAAAAGATAGATTTGCCTCGCATGGCTAAAATGTATAGGAAAATTTTAGCAATTATAAGGCGTAAAAACATGTATAGTGCAGTTGCATTATATGCAGTTGAATATTATACTCACACAATTAATGCTTAAATATTAATATTTGCCTACAGCCAGTGTCAATGCAATGCTGTTTGCTGATGCAGCACCCGTCGACAGCGAAACCGCAATCAGCACGGGCAGCGAGGTAGCACGCGCATGGCGGTTGATTAAGCGCAGCGAATGGGAGGCACGAGAACCCAGCGATTCCGTAAATTTCACTGGACCTGCACCATATGTCATCATACATCATTCGTACAATCCTGGCGTATGTTTAACGGAGGACGCTTGCAAGGCATCAATGCGTTCGGTGCAAAATTTTCATATGGATGAACACGGCTGGGCCGATATTGGTTACAGTTTTGCCGTAGGCGCTGATGGCAATGTATATGAAGCACGTGGTTACAATGTGGTTGGCGCACATGCACCAAATTATAACAGTCAAAGCATTGGTTTATTATTAATTGGCAATTTTGTTGGTATGTTAAATGGCAGTGGCTTCAGTTTGTTTTGGGCCATTACAACTCAATTTCGATTTCGTTGCTTATATTTTATGTGTATTTGTTTTATAGAGAAACTGCCGCCGGCTCCAATGCTGCAGGTGGCACAGGACTTTATTAAATATTCAATTGAAACTGGACAGTTGCGTAAAGATTATATTCTGTACGGACATAGACAGGTGCGCGATACTGAATGTCCTGGCGCTGCACTATACGCGGAAATACAAAAATGGAAACATTGGCGGGAAGTTGCATAGAAACAAACAAACTATTTAAGGATTAGTTTTATGTCCGAGCACTCGATGTAAATGAGATTATATAAATGAGATTACACTTAAATGAGATTAAATAAAATTGTGTCATTATTTTAATTTAATGCACATTTCAAATTATTTAAATATAGTTTGTTTTAAGACAAATATACCGAAAATTTATTAAAAATTAAATTTAATTTGAATATTGTTTTAGTAATGTATATTGAATGATTACTCGGAAAATAATTAGTAATGGAATTCACGTAACAAATCTTTAATATAATAAATATAATTAAATATAATGAATATAATTAAATATAATAAATATAATTAAATATAAAATATATAATAAAATATTACAACTTATTCACAAAAATATGGTTCTCGCTAATAAATATTGGTTCTCGCCCGTGCAACTAGTGGAGTAACATTAGCATGACTTTCTCAGCATTACGTTCCTAGATTAGGTTCTATACATAAGAAAGAACAAATCATGCAACAAATAATGCCTTACGAATTAGAATAGTTTGAAATTTAACAATTAAAAATAAAAATTATAATTAATTAATTAATTCAATTTATTCTACAGGTGGTTAATGATTTCGTTCCTAATATATAACAACAGCAAGTAAAATTGTTAATAACAAAACTCCAGCAAAAATATGCGAACAAAAAAGTCAGTACGGCTTTGGATCAGTTTGGTTAAGGTGCTGCTGATTCTGAGCTTCACATTTGGCAGGACCCGGTTCGATTCCTGGTACTTGCAGTCTCAAAAATAATTATTTACGAATAATTAAATACAAGAATTATTTCCAAGACCACTGATGAAGGGTATTTGGCAATACTCAAAACAGCTGTATGGTCAGCCAAAAATTCAATTAATTAAAATAATTTAAAAAATAAATTTTTGTTGTTGTTTCACTTCTGTTCGAAAACCTCTTTATAAAATATTAATTTAATACTCAAATTGAAAACTATGATAAAATAAACATAGTGGAGTAATACAGCATATAAGAAGAGATTGTTGCATTTACTGAATTCCATAGATGATTGTGCTACCAACTAACAATCATCAACTCAGTCTAGAGATCAAATACTCTATCGTAGAATGATAAAACCATACTGAGTGTGATATGAGAGAACAAACATGTGTTTCGTAAGATTTTTGGTTCTATACGGATTAACAACGACTACCCTATCTGAATTAATCAGGAGCTGTACGAATTTTACTACCACAAATTTTTTCCACGATTTTAAGAAGCAGCAACTACTCTTGATATACGAGACTAGAGAATTTGCGCAAGCATCAGACCCACCTGGAGGTAAATGCTGCATCAGATCGAAAGCCGATATTGAATTAACATTTAACATTTGCTTGTGCCATGAGAATGAACAATAAGGCTACAAAGAAAAAGGTATTTGAAGGGGAAATTGGAGAAAGAAGAAATAGAGAAAGACCGTGTCTCGGGTGGAGTGCTCAAGTTAAAAAGTACTAACCATACTTATTGTACTCATATAGTGATATATGAAACTAGACAATTCGCACCTTTGGCAAAGACACCTAGAGTATAGAGCCGCGTGGAGCAATCCAATGACGGCTTATTATGACGTATATAAGTAAGTAAAGTAAGGTGACGTTACCAAATATATGTAATAGTTATATAGAATAGCTCAAAAAGTACCCGGATTTTGTAAATAAAACACACAAATTTAAATTTTATCACTCATTTATTTTATCTCCTTCAAAATATGCTCCTTCTGAAGCGATACACATACGCCAACGCTTAACCCAATCTTCCATACACTTTTCGTAGGCCCTTGCAGGTATGGCTTTTAGTTCCTTCGGCGAATTCTCTTTTACCGATTGAATCGACTCAAAACGCTTACCACGAAAGGGCAATTTGAGTTTCGGGAACAAGGAAAAGTCGCATCAATGTCATCGGTGCCTGAGCGATGACATTGGTGCCGTGTTTGGTCAAAAAATCAACGAGAATTTTCCATAGTAAAAATCGCTAAATGCATTTGAGGTAGTCTCACATTAGCAGCTGCTGTAAACAAACTAATTGACAGATGGCGCTCAAATTTGTACTATATGTCAAGAAAGAGTGTAGCAACATAACAAAAAAAAAAATTTTTTAAAAAGATCTATTACTTTAGGAGTAGTTAACAAACAACAACATCCGGATACTTTTTGAGCAGAAGGTATATACGTATTTAATGCCTTTATGATATATACAAGTTGTATATATTAGTCACTGTTTTATTCAATGTACGCATTAATTAAGTACGAATATGACCCTATATGGCAATATAGAATATTTGTGTACGCATTTCTAATTATTGATTTACATTATTCACATTTATCATAATCAAAATATTATTTATTAAATTTCGCTCTTTAAAACGGTTTATAGATTAGATGAAAAAAAACTTGACGTACCGTTTTATAAAAATAACATTATTTAATAAATTTGTATTTTATAATTACTGATACTGTTCTCTCAGCAACAAAAAGTTTTAAAGATAAGAATCTATCGTTATTGTTGTTTTAATAAAAGCATTAGATTGTCTACAAGAATTTTTAAAAACTGTTTATTGTTTCAAGACTGTAGCTTCTTAACTACGGAAACTAAGCAAAATTAATAGTAAGTTGAATTTTATTATAGAAAATAGATTATTGGAAGTAGCCTCATCTGTATCTTATAAAATGAATAGTTTCTGAAACTATTTTATAATAGCAATATAATGATAACTTTAGTTATTTAGCTATTCAGTTAAATCTTTTAATTTTCTTGATTCTCCTTCTCTTGAAACCGTTTCTTATACACATATATTGCATATTTATAAGATCAATCAAAATGTCTTAAGATCTAAGTTTACCGTGAATTGAATTGCATATTCATAGGATGAGAGGAATTCAAATTTAATATCCAAATCATTCAATATAAAATGAAACAAAATATTAATTTATTTAGAAAATAGGAGTAATTTTCATATATATACTATATAATAAGAGATATATCGCTAGAGCACTTAGTATAAATAAAAGCAAACAAAAGAAAGTTATATAAATATAAACAAATAAATCTCTAATAAATAAGGTATTGCAATGTAGTCAAAAAATACACAACTTGTACTTTCAAAGTGATATTAATTTAATAAAAAATTATTTGTATACTGTGAAAAAACGACTTGAATTATATGAATTATACATATGTTTAATTTTATTTGAATAGTACCTCTTATACTATTAACTATCAGATCATATATAAATTGCACTAGGGACCCAAGGCTAGAAACTTTGCATAACCATATGCCACGAAATATGAAATTTGTACACAAAAAATATTACAATAATACAACCTCTGGGGATTAAAGTTATATTGTAGCAGTAGTTCCTTGTTACTTAAGAAATTAAGTTATCCCTTACGTGCGGCAAAAAAAATTGTATTTCTCTAATTTCACTTCTCTCAAAATTTTTGTAAACTGTATATATAATTCATCGTGTGTTTAACTTATATTTAATGATAGTGATAAGCATTTAAAGTTGTACATAATAATCAGTTTTCCTACCAATAAGCTTTTTATCCTAACTATGAGTAATTAGACACAATTAGGTCCAACTATGACTAACAAAGGAAAGCCTAAATCACTAATTATAAGAATTTTATTTAATAGAACACCAGCAACACCTGTTAGATAGCGTGACTTATGGAATTAATTCATGTGCAATGTAACACTCAAAATAATTAAGAAAGTCAAACTGGGGGAGTCAATGTAGGGCTAAAAAGTACCCGTACATAAAAAAAACTGGCTATGAGTAATTCATATATTAAAGTCCCGCATATACCACCTACAAGAATAATTATAAATTATAGCACTGCATTTATAATTCATATTAAACTAATTGCATGACTGACTTCTGAGAATGTTAATCTTGTTATATAGATTTACTAGTAATTTCAAAGTTTAACTTTAAAAAAAAAACTGATTTTAAACATTTTATTATACTAAAATCACATAAATTATCTTTATCAGCACACAGGTCGTAATATTTATTCGAAAAGCTACTTTATATTTTTATACTAGAGAAAATATTTCTTCGATATTTATCAAGGCATACAAAATAAACAAAATATTGAAAATTTAGCAAATGCGTAAATATTTACTTCGCTGATACAAATACTAAATAAGTAAGTTAAATTCCATTTAAAAATAATCAAACAAAAGTTGGCTACAGAAAGGCTAGCTATTTATCAGAAAACCCCCTCGAGTGATAAATGTATAACATCAATAATTGGTTGTTTCCAGACACGCGAGGTGCTTTACCGGCAGTTCTGCATTAAATGGTGGCGCTATAATGAAGCAGTTATTAAGTTATTAGGTCGGAATATATTTTACCGTGACTGCACATTCGAAGCCAAGGAAATATGTAATATAGATATAAAGCAGTCAAATTTTTTTGAGGAAGAGCTTATGATATCATAGGAACTGATAAAAGTAATATGATGATTTGTAACTGCAACAAAACTGGAACTATTGTAGTAATAATTCCTATTCAGATAATAGATTCAATAAGCATTTCTTTTAAATTCCTCGAGATTTATTTTCATAGTAGAAAAAATTTCTATTATTTTAAAAACTATATATAATGTTATATATATAATGTAATCTCATAATTTATATCAAATGCCGTCGAATACCTCTAATTAATACTATTCAATAAGTTTAAGATTTCTATAGACAACATTTATAAACAATAAATGAATAAATACGAAGTCAAGTATAACTACGAAATGATTCACAACAAACACTAATGGTTTTAAAATAATTCTAGGTTTTAAATTAATAAATTAAGTTAATTACATATTGGTTAAAATTATTATAAACGTAAATTTTTCTGAAGTGCCGACAATAACACATCATTGAATCGCATCAGTCCATACCATTACCCGGCCGAATAAAAACTGAGCGTTATTAGGTGTGATAAGCCAAGTCCTGTAACCTCTACTATTATAAGGCCTAAGTCGCCTTAAGTGGAATTAAAAAGATATTAAATAATTACCAAGATATCGTATTTACAATAACTTTCCTCACAAAAAATCATATTCGAAAAGAAAAAAGCACATATCACATTTTACAAATGTCTGGGGAAAACTATTGTGTTTTTATTTCTGGCTCTTAAGATTTCTAAATTTATCTTCATTTATAGTATGTTTCCACTGGTTACTTAGTAAGTATAACTTAGTAAGTTATACTTACTAAGAAAATTTCGTTAACCATAGAAACAGCCTCCGTGCTTTTTAACTCAAATGCAACCCTTAAAAATAAATTTCCCACAAGTGGGAAATTACCAATATTTAAAATATTTGTCATATGTTTTATATGTAAAATGTAAATAAAACAACTACTGAACTGCAAACAAACGCACTAAGAAAGCGCTTATATAATATATAAAATATATATATATAAATGATTTATAATATCAATTATATATTTATTTTTGTGTAATATATTATTAAGTGAAGTTTATTTAAACAAACAGAAAGTCTCTTAGAACTTTCAGAGGACTTTTTGACACGTAAAAAGTTTTTCATATGCAATGCGAAACTTATTTTAAAACTACTTAAGTTATTTACTAAGTACGCAGTGGAAACATGGTACAAATTTTTAAAATGCGATAGTTTCCGAATTTTGTTACAAATATTTCTAATATACAATAACTTTGCTAGTCGCTTTAACATATTTAAAATATACCACAAATTATATATAAAATGAAAACCTATAGTTCTTTATATCGTTTTTGAGTCGATTTTCCTCACAAAATTATTATCACCCTAAAATGATCTTATGGTACAATACACAACTCAATTAATTACACGAAAATTGTTTTTCCGAAATCCAATAAGAAAGGTTGGACATCTCTGCTTTTACCTGCTTAATGCGGGTGAAAAGTGAATTAAGGAGATATGGCGTGAATGACTGTGAAACAATTTGAGAAGCTGCGATGAGATTTGAAAAAATGTTTTTGGTACGCCAACGCTAAAACGCTAATAATGAGAAAAATATTTTTATAGAAATTACACAAAAATATCTCCCTGCGAGAGTCAATACCTCTTTTATTTTTTAGTTTGAAGAAATTACATTATTGTATTTATATTTTATATTTAATAGACTTTATCAAGCAATTAAATTGTTTTTTTTTTTGATTTTTTTTTTTAGAAATATACAAATATTTACGGATAGTTTTCTATCCGTAAGTATTTGTATATTTAGATATAAATTTAATATTTTTTGAGCAGTCATCAAATCAAATAAAATAAGTATTCTATAATTTTAAAGCTTATTTGATAGCTGCAGCAATAAAAGATATAAGTACGGAAAGGAACACAATTCCATACAATAACCAACAATTTCTCAAATGCATTTTAAGTATATTAAAAAAATTCAAAAAATAAATTTAATTTATATTATTCACTTTAAGTACTTTTATCAAGGTTATCAATCAGTTGAATCATTTTGGGGTGTAATAGATAAAAATAATGTAACTGGGGAATCACACTGCTTTTGAATAATTACTGTTCAATAGACAATAATAGAAGAGTGCACATGTTCAAACATTTTATACATTTTTATATAAATAATATATAACAGTCATATATATAAAAATATGCAAATATATTTTTTTAAATCACTCAAATATTATTGGGCTTAAGAAGTTCTTATAACTGGTGATAAGGTACCATAGAAATCCGCTGAATAAAAAGAAAAGGAATTGTATTGAAACATTGTTGACAAGAAAGAAAAATGCAATCAAATTTGTATATTTAATTTTTTATTATCAAAACAATTTGATAAGCGATTGTATTTGTTTCGCAGCATAAGCATTGCTGGTTGGTGATATAAAATATATACGAGTATAACGATTGATAAAGTATTGATTAGTTAAATTTGAAACCAAAACAAAAAAAAAACAAAGTCTTTATATTTTAGTATAAAATTCTTGTTTTACTTCATGAAGCGATAAAAAAATGTATATTTTATAGAAAAACAAAAAGAAATTCTTTGGACTTTCAGAACAAAACATACACGTCAGGTAGAAACGCACAAATTGTAGGAGAAAAAGTTTAGTCAACGAAACGTCGTCGTCGTTTACGAAAAAAACTGAAGCGGAGTTTAAAATTTTGAATTAACCAAAAAAAAAAATTCTAATAATAAAATTGTTATAAAACTATTTTCACAAAAAGGATGACAGCAATTATAAAGGACATTGTAAAAGTTGAAGAACACATAAACAGATGGGGTAAGTGACTATTCAACAAATTTTATACTATGAAAGTGAATGACACTGAAAAAAATCACACAAAAATCTACCAAAAACTAAACAAAAACTTTTTCGTGTAATTATAATAATTTTCTATAATTTCCCTCCTATTGTGTTGCAAATATACAAAAAAAAATCCCCCCAAATTTTAACTATAAATGAACAATGCTGCCAACTATTTGCGGAAGTATTTAAGTTTTTGAAAATTGGCATAGCAAACATTAACCCAAAAGTTATAGTAAATAAAAATCAGAACTTGAAAAAATACTTCAAACAAAATTTAACCACAGCCACCACAAGCAGCAGCATTTTCTGTACAAAAGAATTTCAACTATTTTCTTTAACTTTGTAGATCCCCGAATTTAATACATTATACTAAGTGCTTAAAAAGAAATCACAAAAAAAAAAGAAAAAAAAAAATGAAAAATAAAATTATTAAAAATCAAAAGTATCTTAAAGATATCGCCACATCACATGAACCATAAAATTACAAAAAGACTTCAGTAAATGTTGGTTTGTGTATTGCAACAAATGTCTTCCATCAGTTGAAAGTTTATTTCTTAATAAAAAATATTTGTAGAATAAAAACAATAAACAATAAACAATAAATAAATTAGCAATTAAATTTTTCACACAATATTGTAAATATTTTAGTATAAAACAAAATAAATAAAAATCTGCAGAATTGTTGAAAAGATTTATGAGTTGTAATTCCCCGGATTTTATGAATTAATGGAAGAACAACTGAAAACACAGACATATACAAAAAATTAATAATATTATAAAACTTATAATTTAAAGCATTGAGATAAATAAACAAAAGCCATTAAAAATTTAGTTTGTTTTTATGCAAATTAATTATAATAAAATTATTTAAATAATTTAAATAAATATACAATTAATAATAAACATAAGAAAAATTTTTTTTTTAAAAAAATCACCAATAATTTTAATTAGTATTGATTGGTTTACAAAAACATAAAACAATAGGTCAGACTCTTTCAACATTTCCATAAATGCTATCTAACCATCTGGCGCTATCTGGCGCTATTGGAAGCATGATATGCAAAAATGAACATATCATTAAAATTCTTTCGCTGACGTATTTGTTTTAATTAGATACAAATTAATTTTAAATGATATTCGAAAGTTAACAAAATATTTTAGAAGTTACCATAATATATTTATAAAGTCCACATTTAGTGTTTCGGCAAAAATTAAGCAAATGATATTAACATATATATTATAATATCTACTAAAAAAGAAATTAAAATTAATTATTAAAAAGTTCTCATGTTGATGTATTTTATGATTTAAATTTAGAATAAAAATAGAATGAAAGTTATTCAGTTATTTAAAAAACAAAAAAAATATTAACAATTTTCTAGAAGAAAATAAAATTTAAGGCAATAATTCATATTTTTATGCATAATGGTAAGTAATAAAGGTATTAACTATGTTCCAGCTAAATAATTATGTATATAATGAACATTGAGAACAAATAAAAGTTAGTTCTTATACTCTAGTTTTCGACTATTTTTAGAATATTTGTAAAAAAGTACAAAGAAAAGGTTGAAACTACGTCTAGCATAATATTTCAATTCTATGATAATACTTCTTTACATAATGTGACAGGTAGTTATGATATGCGCTTTCCAATTACAATGTTCAACCAATATAGATTTGCCGTTACCCTAAGAACCACTGAGTCCTAATTTTAGGTGTTAGCAGAAGTTTTTTAAATACATAGATGCACTTACTTATACTTATTTAATTTGCACACATATAAATTGTATGCACCGACATTTGATTTAATATGTAAATGATAAATATATTTTAATACCTTATTAAATATGTATGCGTAGGTAGGTTAGGTAGATTATACCGGCGATCACAAGGTATCCACTTAGGCATATAAGCCCATTATGTTACCGTATAATTAAGAGTTAGAACCACTTAGAACCTTATAAGGCTTATAATGCTATTCAGGGAGTGGTCTTGCGGTTCGCCAAGATCATCAACAAAGAAAAAAATATATTTAAATACACAGATATTATCGTAATACACGTTAGTATATATTTTTTTTAACTTAATGGAATATGTTAGATAAACAATTCTATAATAAATATAAAAACGAACCAATTAAAAATAATTATATTTAAATAAACACACAAAAAAACAAAATAAAAAGAATAAAAATATGAAAATTATTTAAATTTTTATAGCGATGAATTAAATTTGAATAAACAAATTAAAAAAAGAAATAAATAAATATAAAAAACAATAAATATAAAAAACAATAAATATATAAAACAAAATTTAAAAATATAAAAAAAAGTATAAGAAAAAATATGTAAAAAATAAAATAAAAAATTAAAGGAACTAAAATACATAACATAATTTAAAGAAAAAAATGCAAAAACAAAACAAAAAAAATTAATTTAAAAATAACAAAAATAAAAAACAATAAAATACATATAAATAAAAAAAAATGAAATATACATAAAGAAAAAAATAAAATACATATAAATAAAAAAAAATAAAATATACATAAATAAAAAAAAGTAAAATATACATAAATAAAAAATAATATATATATATATGTATATATATATAAAATAAATAAGAAATATAAAAAGAAATTCAATAAAAACAATGAATGGAAAAACGAAGCACAGGTGCTTAAAATTATATTTCCTGAATTCGTTAAAAGCCACATCCTATATAATGGCACTTCTTCGGTGAAAAACTGATAAATAACAGATAAACCAAAATTATTATTTTTAAGTAACGAATGTCCCATATAAAATGCAATCGAAATAACGATACACTTCGCCATTATATCTTTCCTTACACCAAGTCTATTGTATGAACAAAATTTCAATACAAAACAAAATAAACTTAAATAATAAATTTATTTAAAGAAAATTATTAAATAGAATATGTGTGTGGATCAGAGTACAAGAATATAAATTATTATATCAGCTCTTTTATTTTACGAAGTTAACATGACAATTATTTTTGGAAACTGGAGTTTTCGCATTACTCACCAACCTTCTTTTATGGCCTGAAATAAATAATAATTCAATTTAATAAAGAATGATAATGTCTACTTTATCATGAGAGACTTTTAAAATATGCAAAGTTCAACTGTATGAAATGACTCATAGATGAAGTAACAAATGTTAGACATTTCGTAATACTCGTACTGGTTACTCTAATACAATTAGGGGGTTTCAGAAGTGCTCGGTAACTCTGTAACTAAGTAGAATGATAAAAGTATTTAAAATTACAATATTACCTCGTTACCAAATTAGTGATTTACCGAGGCATCAACTTAATAGTTTATTCGGTATCGGTAAAATAATTTTCTTATTGAGCAAATTTATCCTTCGAACATTATTTTTGACTTGCTCATCATTAGTAATCATTATTTGAAAATATTTCTTCTGCCATATCTGTCACTGCAAACTTTTTGTAATAAATTGCATTATGACTATAATGACAAAATTTTGAAATTTCTTTAAATAAGTGATTAATATTTCAAACTACAACATAAGCTACATAATCAATCACTTAAATATCAGCGTTACTTAGCAAAACAACGACCTTGCCAAAGACATAACTAGAGTCAAAATCTAAACTTTATCGGACTAAGCAATTAATTGATAAAATTTTATAAGGGTAATAAAAATTTATTTATATACTGTGAGAAAACAAAGCACTTCAAAAAGTATTTTTAAAGTGTTTAATATAAATTTCTTAAAAAATGGAGCTTGTCCAAAACAATGCATAATATGTAAAAAAATACTATATGAATTAGTTTACTATATATATAAACAAGATGTGTTCTAACCAAATAGAATAAATATAAGATATAAATCCTTTATCCAAACGAAAAAACTCGAAAATAGAAAATGACGCATTTTTAATTTCAAGTCAAAGGAAAGTTCATCAAAAAAATAACCTTTAGTTAAATCATAATGTTATATCCATTTACATATGTTAAATACAAACATCGATTCCGTGAAATATTTTTTGTTTTGATGACTAATCTATTATTCAAATTTCAAAAACTTGAATATTATGATAATTTGAAATTGATATTATTTAAAAAATATTGAATGCGGCTTTATGAAAATTTCTTTAAATTTATACAAAAAAATTGTTTTTATATAGCAGTCATAGCATAGCATAAAAGCAGAAGATAATTCTAATAAATCATGCGGGATGCGATTTTAATATTAATTGAGAGCGAAGGTATCAAAGAAAATACAAAATGTACAGAATAATTGCTTTTAAAAAAAAAAAAGTTTCTTTGGTTTAAGTGGACATAATCGTTCATTTTGCAAACGAACATAATTGAAGCATATGGATACCAACAGTTAGTAGCTCACGATTCTAAAGAAGGTCTTGCCTACGCTTTTTCTTACATCTACAAACTGGAAGTTTCAGTTGAAATCCACAGAACATAGACAAAAAGGAAACAACTAAATATTTTCTTTACAAAAACGCTCAAACCGGGCAAGATTTAGACATTCCACTAACCGTTCGCCACGTTTACAAACGTCGATCTTCCAAATATAATTTTCTTCATTAATATAGCGCATTGATACCAAAACTAAGATTTTTATGGCCAGCTTTGTGGCAACAAAATAGTGCAAAACTGCACCTCAAAATTTTTGAAAACTTATTTGTTTAATTTTTGAACTTGTCCATCAGTTTCTTATTATCATCAGAGCAGTTCCATAAAAAGGAATTTTGTACTTCTTGCATACTGTTACACCACATAACTTCTTAAAATCTTGAGACTTCTACAAAAAGAAATTTTTGAACTTTTCCAGCCCAAGTGGACATTCGCTAATTTTTTAAAAGTGTTTTCTATATACAGTACACGTGAGCAAAAGCTATTTACAGACAAAAAAAATTTGCATCTACAACAATGTTGTTTTGTGTGCTACAGGAATTTGTACTCGTAT